ACAAACAAATTTAAATAAATGGGGATTAATTACCTTAGCACTTGGTAACTGGGTCCTTCCATGCTTTGGGCCATGAACCATTTTGAGGAATTCTTTGTAGTGGCCCATGCCTAGGAGGAATGTTCTTTGTGTGTGCTTCTTATACTCTTCCAAATTATTGGTCAAAAAATTGTCACTTCAACTTCCTTTCTGTTCGCAAATTCACCCCAAATCTTTTCCTGATTATGGCTGCTTGTCTGTAGAGAGAGGAAAGCTCACACGTGGAAAATATATTGAGAAGTTCAAACTAAAAGAGAGCAGGTTAAGATTAGATTTTGGGAAAAAATTGTTTCCTGTGAGGGTGGGCAGGCCCTGGCACAGTACCCAGAGCAGCTGTGGCTGCCCCTGGATCCCTGGAATACCCAAGGCCAGGCTGGGCAGGGCTTGGAGCCACCTGGAACAGTGGAAGTTGTCCCTGCCCATGGCAGAGAGGTTGGAACTGGATGGGCTTTGAGATCCAGCCCATTTCATCATTCTAGTAAGAATTACCTGTCTTTATAGCAGTGTTTCTTCCTGATTTATCTCTGGCTCAAATCTTAATTTTAATATATTCCATAGATCTGTAGTTTGAGTATCCAAGTGTGATACATGTTCTAAATATCAGGTTCTTTGCTGTTTAATCTGCCAAGACAGAACTGGTGGTGTTGCTGTCCCCATCCCGCAAGTTACCGTTCTTTGGTCACATCCTTTGTGACACACTCTGCAGAACTGACTGAGACTTTTCTCTTTAGCACCAAGCTGCAGCAGCCTCTAATGGTCACTGCCTTATTCTCCAGAACTCAATTTCACAGCATATTGGAGGTGACACACCTTAGCTGCAGTGGAGAAGGCTTTATTTTCATCCCTTTCTACTGAATTAATGCCTGTTGGGAGCTCTCTGCAGGTGCAAACTGGAGCTGGGTTGCAACACCCATTAAATGGAAAATGGTGAATAAGGTGCTCCTTGGTAAACTTTTGTTACAGGCAGCTCTGCACTGCCAGGCTTTATAAAGTTTAACAATCTGTTGGAGTCATTAATCTCCTGCTGTGGCTTTACCTTCCTGTGGCAGGATTAGACATTTAATTCTCTGCTAGACTGTAAGTAGCACTGAGACATTTTGGTTCTAAAATTGTTATATAGCCATGGAAAACATCGTTTTGGTGGGCATTTAACCTCTTTGAGCTCGATTATGGCTGTGAACTGACAATGATAAAAGTGCCCTAAACAGTGCTTAGAACAGTAGAGCATGATGCTATCAAAAACAGCAACTTGACTGTGCACCATAAACTGATGGAATTGACTGAGCTGGAAAGGCATAAAATCTGCCTGTGCACCATTCATGCTTTCAGAAATATTTCCAGGTCTTGATGTTTTCCTTCTATACTTTTTGTTGATGTGGCAAAGTTATTTATCTGTTAGCTTTATGTGCATCAATAAAATTTTCTCTCTGACAAAATGAATTAAGCAAGACCTTAATTTAACATGCTTCCTCCTCTAATAAATGAAGTTTCACGTGGTGGAATTTGTGCTTTGAATTAATCTCTAAATTAAAAATCCTGTGGGGGGAAAAAACCTAAAGCGTTGTCTTACAAGTAATAGTGTGTGTCATAATATTTACATCAGAACTCAGCATAAATTAAGGCATTGCAGAGGCATTTGTTAATACAGGTGCATGAGCAAAGCCCTGGTGCTGCTTTTGGAATAAAACATGACAGGCTTTTGCTGCTTTCAGATTCAAGTCACAGCTTCTCCCGTTGCCTTCTGAGCTGACACTGCCTGGGTGAAGCTGAAGTCTCTGGGTGCACAAGGCATCCCTGAGGCTGCACTTTGTTGCAGTATGCACAGGAACACCCAGCCCTGCTTTCCCAGCAGTTATTTGCCTTGATGAATAGCCCTAATTGGATCAAATGGACTGGCAATGGTGAGCCAGTACTTTTAAATGTCTTGTCTTGTGCCATTAATATTACCTTGTCATGTATCCATTTGAGCTCTAGGATGAATGTCTTGCCTTCATACTGCTGTCACATTGAACAAATGATTTTGTCAAGTCCTTCTTTACAGCTTGTGGTGAAGGATGGCAAAATTTGTGGTCTCCTACGTACAGAAAACCTGTTAACTCTACCTTTCAACTTCAATGCAAGGACGTCCTAAAACTCAGATAACAAATTCCTGAAGAAATTATAGTGCCTGTTTACAAGGGGGGCCAGAAATGTTCTTCTGACATCTATGATTAACACAGCAGAAGAAAAATAGAATGTATTAATTTTGTATTTATTAAACCTGTGACAGTGAGAATTCAGTTTCTTTTTTTTCAGCTGCTGCAGTTATGAACCTCAGAGTACAACACACAGTTACCATTAGAAACCAGATATCCCTTTTATTAATTCCTTTTGATTCAGAAAGAGCTCTACTGTATATTTACTATGGTAAACCCCAAATTGCTGGTTAGCTGATGCTCTTGCTGTCCTTTATATTGGTTGTAAGCTGAAGATATTTAACAGTGATGAAAATAAGCTGCTTACTTGAACATCCTGAGACCGCTGTTACAATTCCATGGGGCATATTGTTATAACCTGATCCATAACAGCACATTACCTTGGATTAAAAATTGAATTCTTGTTCATTGAATAAATACAAGGCTTTGGAACAGATCCCTCCTCATGGCAGGACAAAATAGGAAAGGTTTGGTGCTCATTTAGCATTTAAAGTAAAGGTTTTTTAGTGCAGCGGACAGTAGGTTTTCACTGGCACATCCTGAGCCTGAGCAAGTGGAATTTTTTAGGGACATTTCACTGAGAATGAGCTGGAAGCCACCTTGGATTTTTAAAAGCTTGGTGTGTTCCTTTGGAAGTGCTACCATTTGGCCTTTTTTGATACAATGGGCATCAAAGTCTAACTGTGGGTACACAAATCAGGCATCTGATCTGGAGTTTGCCAGCAAGCCCTGGGAAGTGGATCTCTGCAGAGGAGATTTATGCAAATTCATGATGCACATTTTCTAGCAGTATTTCTCCCTTAATGCTGGCTGTAGGTGAAACTACTGATTTAATAGGAAATCACAGAATATCCTGAGTTGGAAGGGACCCACAAGGATTAAAGAGTCCAACTTCTTCTTGTCCTTCACACAGCAACCCCAAGAATCCCACCATGTGTCTGAATTCTTAAATTAAAATATTTTTATAAATACTGACTGGAAATCTATCAACCATAGCATGCAGGGTGCTGTGCTGCTGCACTATTCTCTGACACTCAGCATCTTAGAACATCTTTTCTTCTTTTTTCTTGCAATGTTTTGATGTATTTGGAACAATCTTGTTATTTATATTGAGATGATACCTGTGAAAACTATTCATGGATTGGGGTCCCATTGTGTGAGATGCTGTGCAAACACACCCGAAGCATGGTCTGAAAGAGCTTTTAATGTAAGAATAAAATAAGAGTCAGCAAGTGGAGAGCAGCAGATTGATGGGAGAAAAAATAAAGAGTACAAGATGGAAATGTAATAGGTGGTAGCAAACACACACCAGCTTCCAAACTGTTGGCAGGTCTCTGATAGATGATTCTTTTCTTCTTTTTGTCTTCTTTCCTCCCCCTGTTTGTATGTGTTACTGAGTTTGCTATTCTGAGTGCCTTTAATCATTGTGAAAGTGAAAAAAAAAACAAACTTTCCAGGTTGAATCTCAGTAGAATTAATTTTTTAGGAGAATTGAGAACTGCTTAATACGTTAACTGCTTCAGTTGTGATGGAAATAAAATGAGTGCCTCCTACAAGCACATATATGCTATTTTGCTTTGCTTGTTTTTACTGCACCACTCAGGGAATGAAAGAAAAATATTCAAAGTTAGCTTTCTCCTTATTCAAATAGAGCTGAGAATTGCTGTCATCAAACAGCAAATGCATCTTGGATTGTGTATTTGCAATGTCTGACAATAGGCCAGTTTTCGGTGTGATTGGGTGTTTTGATGGCACCTTGTCTAGCTAAAGCTTTCTTGTCTGGGCTCAGAATAGAGAAAATTACCTCTCTGGGTGCTTCATCCAACTAAAAATGCATGATTTAAGGAGACTAATGGGTACCCAAGCCTCCAGGCTGAATAGCTCCCAGCTTCTGTTTGAGTCCACAGTTTTTCATTCTTAACAACCCAAAAGCTGGAGAAAACATAATCAAGATGATTCTGAGCCACAATCCCGCTGAGCAATTAAGCTTCCAGGAAGAATTATTTAAGATTTCAGTCATTTTTCTGGCTGTCTTTCAAATTTTGGAGAAGTTTGACATTAATTGGTGGTCATTAGCAAGGTGGAAAAGAAGTTAGTGACATCATTCTTACAGTAATATTGCTTCTAATAGATGTTTATATGGACTAACAGGTGTTAAATCTTCAGTAACTTGTAAAGTGATTCTTTCTTCCTTTAGAATAAATTGGAATATGTTTTCTAATCTGCCTGGAAAATGCTAAAAAGGTTTTCTGTTTATACTTCTTGGAGCTATTCAAATGGGAATACAAAGCACAAGGCATCTGCTACACAAAATATTAATTATTGCATGGAATACTATTCACTGGAGGAATTAGAGAAGGCTTAGAAATATTCAGGCTAATATTTTTTAATGGTTGCTTAGAGTTAAGCTCCTTAATCCATATTTGCCTTTTTGGTGAGCTGAACTGTTTTTTCAAGTAGTGTGGAGCTTTCAATTCTCATCAATTTGCTGTGTCTTACATGAGTTATCGCCATCATTCTGTACAGATCCATTCAGGCCAGCAGGATTAGCTGTATGTCAGCACAAATCCCAGGGGGGCTTTGCAGAGCCTGGGCCCTCAAGTTTTTAATTTTGCTTGCTGCAAATATCGAAGAAAAGAAAGCAAAAAAAAATCCAAATTCCCACATAACACCGTGAGACGAAGCACATCAGTGCTTCACTATGAAAAGTGGGAATGTGTGCTGATAAATGTCATTTATTTACTGCTGTGCTGTCCTTTGTCCCAGCTCCGGAAGGCAGTGATGGATCACATCTCAGACTCATTCCTGGAGACCAACGTCCCTCTGCTGGTTCTCATCGAGGCCGCCAAAAGCGGCAACGAGAAGGAAGTGAAGGAATACGCTCAGGTCTTCCGTGAACACGCCAACAAGCTGGTGGAGGTGAGTGCTCGGTGTCTTTGTGGCTTTGGCTCACCTTGAGATGTGTCAGATGTGTATTTCTTCCCAGCCTGGCAACTGAAGAAGGAGTTAGGATTTTTTTTGGTTTGGTTTTCAAATGTGGAGAAGTTCACTTCCCTCTCCCCGCAGAGACGAGAATCTTGATTCCATGTTTCAGAAGGCTGATTTATTGCTTTATGATATATATATATATATATAATATTAAAACTATACTAAAATAATAGAAGAAAAGATTTCATCAGAAGGCTTGAAAGGAATAGAAAAGAATGATAACAAAAGCTCGTGGCTCTCAGAGTGACTGTGATTGGCCATTAATTAGAAACAACCAACATGGACCAATCAAAGCTGCACCTGTTGCATTCCGCAGCAGATAATTATTGTTTTCCTTTTCCTCTGAGGCTTCTCAGGAGAAAAAAAATCCTAGCAAAGGGATTTTTCAGAAGACATCATGGCTACATTAAAGGTTGTTTATTTTTCTGTTATCTATAATATTTTTTTCTCTGACCTGCCGAGGTTTGTCTGGCAGGTTGGGTTGAGATACTCTGACTGCCTTCAGAGGCAGTGTTATTTTTTATACTAAGAGCTACATGTTTATAATTTACAATAATTTCTCAATACCTATCACTTATGTTAGACAGTGGATTCGTACTTTAAACTAATCCAAAAGTGCCACCATCACTTAGAAGATGGAGGCTAGAAGAAGAAGAAAGAAGGACAAAACACACCCAAATTCCTTTATCTTGGGACTTTGAGCCCCCATTCTAAAAACTCCAAAATTCTACTTTTCACCTTGTGACAAACTAACCATCATTCTATTTAAACTTTTGTGGCTTGTAATTCTTCGTGTAAGGTTGGTAATTTTTTTCTATGGGTCAAAATCAAAGGCACGGATGTCTTGGGCTCTGTGCCAGGGTCCCTGAGCCCCCTGGCAGGGGCTCGAGCCATCCAGGACAGCCAGAGGGGTTACAGTAAGTGACATTATTGACACAGCCAGGTTTCCTCTGGCACCTTCAGGAGAGGCAGGAACAGTTACAGACTGGGAGAAATGTTAGAGGTCTTATTTCAGCAGTTTTGGTAAACTTTACACCGGTGTTGGCCCCGGAAATGTTTGGATGAGGGGCAGAGGAACGTGCTGTGTTTTAGTGGTTCATTAAAGCAATTGAGCATGTTAGAAATGGTGTTTGCAGCACTTTGTCAAAAGACAGGAGCAGCAAGAATTAAATTTCAGTTCAGCTTCACTAACAGTACGATTGAGCTGAATGTCTATTAAGTAAAAAGTCAAATCAGTGCTTCACAATCTGGTCCTGGCCAAGGACTGCTCTAGACTTAATTGTCAGTCTGAACTGAAAGTGGGAAAAGGACCTACAGAGAAGGCACAGCCTTAAGAACATACATGGTCTTGAAAAGTCTGTAGTTCATATATATATATATATATATATATATATATATATATATTTATAGTACCTTCTATTTCTGAAAAAACACACTGTAAAGTCAACCAGTGATAATTACAAGTCTTCAGGGATGACATTGAAGTAGCTTTATTCTACCATGAGGAGTATAAAGTATAATGATTGAAACCTTGGATTCTCATGGAATGGGCATCTAATAAAATTATGATAATGTTCATTTTGATTTGCCCTCCAGCAGGTCAAGAATTATGAAAAGTGCTTGTGTTTTTAAAGAAAAATATAACTCAGGGATTTGCTCCATAACATTGTGTGGCATTTTTCTGCACTAGCAATGTTTTGAAGGCTTTGTAGCCCCTTTGCAACATATTTTCTTGTCACACAATCTGCTATTTAGCAAAGGGAAATGCAATTAGGGAGCTACTGACCTGACAGGTACTGAGCTACACATCTCAATGTCTTCTGTTAAAACAAGACTCATCCTAATTCTGTAGAACCTGAGCTAAGGCAATGAATAAGGATTCCTTGGTTAATGTTGACTAAATCTGGATATTTCCCTGATAAAAACGTGTCTGGATGTCTTTTTACAGTAGATGTGTGTTCAGATGTTCTGGAGCATCTCATTCTTGCCGTGTACCAAACAGGGAGTCAAGGTACCTCATTCTGCCCTGGAAATCAGGTGTTTGCTAAAATACTTAACTTGTAGGTGCCTAAAGGAAGGTCTTGGTGGTCTGAAATTTCTGTTTAATGCTGAATCCAGTGAGGTTTAATGGTGAATCCAGTGAGGTTTATTGCTGTTGCCTGCAAGAGGATCACAGGGCTGTCAGCAACCTTCCCTGCCAGCCCCTGTGTAGATGCAAAGATTTATTGCTGCCTCCTTGTGACTGGAGCTGTGGCAATGAAAAAAAAAGAAATAGCTGGTAGGTGTATAAAGAGGAGAAATAAACCCCAAACAAATGGAAAACCCCTCCACAATGTTTGTTCATAGTTATATTATAGTGGCAGTGGAGTTGTAGGCTTATGTACAGTGAACATATGTGGGGTTAGTGTTATAGCACTCACATCCTCCACAGATTTGCAGAAAAGTGCTGCAATGACAGGTTTAATAGCATTATTAAAAAAAGTTAAAAATAGCTAAGTGGATATTTTAAAAATATTATAAGAGGTAATGGCATAAAAGGAGGAAAAATACCTTTTAGGGGTGTAGTTAAAAAAAAAAAAAAGAGCCAAAAACTCCCTGCCAGAAAAACCCACACCTTTAATGGGAAGAAGAAAGAGCTGTAATGCTGTTAAACTGTCAGAGGGGGAATTTAGGTTTATTCTTAGGAAGAAATTCTTTACTGTGGTCATGGTGAGACCCTGCTGCCCCCATAAAAGCTGCTCCATCCCTGGAAATATCCAAGACCAGGCTGGACATGGTTTGGAGCAACCTGGGCTAGTGGAAGGTGTCCCAGCCCATGGCAGGGGTGGGACTGGATGGAATTTTAAGTCCCTTCCAACCCCAGGGCATTCTGTGATTCTATGAAACAAAAAATAATGCACTGTTTCAATTATTTAGTCTTGGTTTTACAAACCTAATATTACATTAGATATTTATTTTAGACCAAACTGGAGATTGGTTAATGATTTTTGACATGTGTTAAAGTTGTACTGCACAAAAAACAACAATGTTGGTATCAATAGATGTCTCAGGGATAATACCTAATAATTTTATTCCATTTAGGCTGTTTCAGACTATTAAAAGCAGATTCTTAATTGAATCCTGTATATCTGTGACAGCTGGTACTGACTTGTGGGTGCATTCTTATTTTTTTCCAAGATGGGTTCCTGTAGGTGCATCTTGCCCTTTTAGTAGTAAGAGCTATTTCTGATTCAGGTAAAAAGCATCTTGAAAAACAAATTTCTAGCACAAGTGAAATTTTTAACCCCAAATTTCAAGTTCATCAGTCTGCAGAAGCAAATATTTATTTGGAATATATTTATGTCCCTTTTATACTAGATTTTTGCACTTCAAATAGTTTCATCATTTTTACTTACTGATGCACAATGGAACCTTAGCAGATGGACTTCTCTGGTTTTGTGGGTCAAGTATCTTGCAAATAGTAAAGTGTGGTTTGAAGATGAGCCATAATCAAGTGACTGTGAAATGTGAGATGCTTTCCCAGGCACGGGGCCAGAACTGCTTGCTGAGATGTGCAAACACAGCTCTGCTGAAACGCGTGGAGTTGCACTCGCTCGTGGTAGAGGAATTTGGCGCTGCCACTTCAATGCTGTGAAAACTCTGTAGTATTAATCATTAATTTTGAAATCTGAGTCTGAATTTTTGGGATGTCCTACCAAGCTCAATGTTCAGCCTGTCAAAAGGTCAGGAAAAAAATAATACGTGTTTTAATATTTCTTTATGTGAAACCTGCATTTTTTCATCCTGAGGGAGGAAAAAAATTGCACTTCTTGATATTTGTTGAATACAAATGGCAAAATTTCCTCTGCATAGCCAATACATTTTAAAAAAATATATTTTGTCAGCTTGAGCCTTAAGGAGGTTAAGTTTCTTTTATAGTCCATATTGCAGGATATTTAAATCTTCTCTCAAAAGCCATTTTCATTATATGATATTTTCCCTTCCCTACCTCTTACCATAACATTAATAACAACAAAGATGGATTGTCATTTTCGAGACATTCACTGACAACTAGATTTGTCTATGGGTTTTGTTGGAAACAGAGTGAGGTGTCACTTAACTATAATGTAAATCGTACAAAATAAATCAAATTGTCAGACAGATTCTGGGGATAAATCATTATAATATAATAAAACAGAATTTGGATGGTACCAGTTCAGGCTTGGATGGGTAACTCTTTTCCTTGCAATGTTTTTTCACAGCCATTTCTCAATTTTTTTTCTGCCTTCTGAAACTGAGGTTAGAGAAATGATGGTGCCTTTCCCGGTCATGATCTTTACCTCATTAATTCCTTTATATTTTTTAAGAAATTATTTCCAATGACTGAAAGTAAATTCCTGAGTTGTAATGCCAACTTCAGATGTGACCTGGGGACCATTTAACTTTTCTACCCAAGCACCTTCATTAGTAGCATAAGGTTAATGACAGATAATTCTAATATCTACCACACAAAGGCACCTGACTGATAAATCAGCTCAGATTTGTTCAATGCATCTATCAAAGCACTATAAGGAGGCTAATTAATTAATTTTCATTGTTCTCTTTACTAGAGGTTCTTTGGTTTAATGGTCATCCCCTGGACTGTTTCTTGGAAAATTAAATTATTAAATCTAACAGGTTTTCCTGGTAGATGAAATTCAGCATCCATTAAATTCTTAAGAACCATGGTAGCCATCTGTTCAGCTGGAATTCAAATTATAGTGTATTGGATCAGACTTCCCATTCTCAAAAGGATGGGTATAAAAAGATATTTCTACTAGTTGTTTCACTTTGAGGAATTTTAATACTTTTATGGAAAGACTTCAGCTTTTTGGTGGTCAGTGAACATTTACAAGAGTTTAACTCAGTTGCTTTTTTCTTATTTCCAACAAAACTTGAATGAAGGGGTGTTT